CCCCCCTTCACACACACTCCCAAGGCTTGAGCTAATTACGCGCGCGAGTCCCACCAATCCGCGCATCTGTCAATCGATCGATCAGGTTTCCTTGGCCGGCTCCTGCCGCCTCTGACCCTCCAGCTGCTTCTTCCTCTCCGCCCAACGACCTACACATACACGGACGCACACACACATGACAACACCACAACGACATGACACACATAAGGCAAATGCATTGCATTCCTTCTCTCCCTCTTCATCGGCCTTACGTTTTGACTCCTCCACCCTGGCCTCGTCCGTGCCGCCCTCCCTGCTGCCCCTGCTCGATGTGGCGCTGGCTGTCGGCGAGGCGCTGCCGCTCAAACCCTCCACCGGCTTCAGCGGCCGCAGAGCCCAGGAGGGGGCTGACGGCGACGAGAAGGTCGATGACGGGGCCAGCGGGGGCAGCGCAGGGATGTCCTCAGGCACGTTCAGGGCGCGGCGGTTCTTCTGTATGGTTGGGGCAAGGACACATACACACGACTGGGTGTGGTTCGTGGTTCCGTGTGGTTATGTGTAGGGGGGGCTGGGCAGGGCTGACATTCCTCTTGGTGGTCTTGTTGCGTCGGTTTGGAGGCTGATGGCCGTCACGGAGCCTGCATGGCACAAGAGCATCGGCAGACAGTTGATTCGATTCATGCTCAGCCTCTCCCTCCCCTGCTCTCCCTCACCTCCGTAGCCGCACGTTCCACACACTCCTGTGCGTGTGCGTCGCCAGGCTCTCCTCACTCTCGCCCTTGTCGCCCCTCTTGCTGCTCGGCCCCTGCTGCGGCATCCCCAGCTCGTTCTCCACATCAATCTTGAAGAGCCACTCTATCGACGGACCCTTGGGCTGCCGCAGGGCCAGGTGCCGCTGCTCTTCCCTCTCCGTCAGCTTCTTCAGCGATGGCAGCAGGGAGGCGGGGGCCGTGCGCTCGGTGGGGGGGTGGAGGTAGATGTCGACAAAGGCATCGTCGATGGACGCCTGACGGTGGGCCACGCGCGGAGTCGCCGCCGTGAAATCTGATGGGACGAATGGGATGGTAGGGAGAGGACAGATGGATGGCTGTGTGTGTGGAGAGGATATGTGGCTCACTCACCGTGTTGTCTGATTTTCTTGACGACCTCGCCCGTGGCCACCTCGCCCTCCCACACCTTCCACTGCTCCTTGATGGTCTTGTTGTCGGACGCCCACCGCCACGCCAGCCGGGTCTCCACGCCCAGCTGCTCCCCAAAATTCATCCCACCCGCACCCACTGACACGATGTTGACCGGCGGGTCGTACTCCAACACGACCCGCCGCAGACCCTCCCGCACCCGAGCGATCTCCTTGAGCAGGTCGTACTGGAGGTCGCTGCTGCCCCGGTCCACCCGGCTGCGCCGCCTTTTCCACTTGACGTGCGACTGAGACGGCTGGCCGAGGGTGCGGTTGTTCCTCGCTGTGTCGAGGGCGGATGAGCTGAAGCTGCGCGGCAACTTGAATCGCTTCCGTTCCTTCTCTTTGGCTTCGAGAAGGGCACGGTCGAAGACCCAGACTGAGTCGTCTTGCTCGGGTGGTGGGGCGGAGAGGGAGATGGGGGGCGGGGAGGGGAAGGACGCGGGAAAAGACGCCGGCTCGTGGGTCGCCGCGCCACCAGCCACGTGGATAGGCTGCAGAATCATCACTCCGCGTGTGTGAGGGTGTGCTGGTGTCTGTGTTGTCACGGTCTCACCTCGATTTCGTTCCACGTGACACCAGCTATCCCCGAGTAGGGCAGGGGGGCGATGCCGCCCCCATTCTCCAGCCCACCGTCCACCGAGCCGCCGCGTGCAACAATCATACTCGCGCCATTGTCGCCATCCCTCACCCAGTAGGCATCGCCGGCGACAGGGCGGATCCTGCCCACAGCATCGCGGTAGACGAGCTTCCCCTGGTCGCCTCGATACACAGTGTGCACCACGCCCCGCTCATCACGGTACACCAGCTTGCCGCTCTCGTCACGGTACAGCAGGGCCTTGCCGTGGTCGGCGCCGCTGGCCACTGCCAGGGCCGATGAGCCGTTGCTCGCACCGGCATTGGCGCTGGCGTCGCCACGTGTGGGTGTGCGGGCGCCCCGCAGAGATGAGGGGGAGAGGGAGGAGTCGGTGACGGTGTAGTATGACTCCTCATCTTCATCCTCCTGGTCGCTCTCGAAGACGTCTTCTGCCGCCTCGTCGAAGAGCGGCTTCCAGCCGATGGGTCTGCAACGCACGGTGGGAACACATGGGTGGGTGGGTGGGTTACTGTGTGCGGAAGGGCACATTGGCTGACTTGGGCATGACGGCACCGAAGTTGCGATATATGGCGGGAAAGGGGGCGATGTGGGGGCATTCAGACGACTTCTGCCAGTCCGCCAGCTCCACCTTAGAGCTACCACACACACAGACAGGAAGGAACGAAGAACACACATCCGCCCGCCAATGGCGATCCCGGCCGTCATGATCGTCCTTCATTCACCTACCGGTTGAGCAGCACTTTGCCTCGGTGCCGAATATCCACATTGGAAGCCCGATATCTGTCTTTCCTTCTCTTGATCTTCCTGCTCCTCTTATCCCCCTTCACCAACTCCGCCGCATCAGGCCGCACATCATGGCCTGCACCACCATCGGACCGCACAGCAGCAGCAGCAGCAGTAGCCTCGCTCCTTGCTCCCCGTGGCTTCGGCAGCCGACTGCCACGAGTGCCCATTCCCAAGCCGCGGCCATCATAGTCCCCACCGCCGCCCATCCCGAGACCCCGCCCGTCATACTCATCATCCACCTCGCCAACGCCTGTGGCGGGGCTGACGGCCACCGTGGATGGCGGCCTGTGGCTGCTGCCGTTCGTCGGGTGGAGC